GGAATTATTGAGGGGAAAAAAAAGGTTGCCTGCCCCTTTGAGGGTGGCCATTTTGAACTCTGTTCTTCACGGCACACCTCCGACTGCCACACGGCACACCAGTATTCCATGGAATACAGAGTAAGAAACACTGCTTTACTATGAATTCCCTTTGCGTCATGGGTTTCAAGGAAAACTGCATTTTGCTCTACACAGTAATCAGAAAGCATATGTTGAGAAATTCTTCTATTTTGGGTCTTATCTACACTGGCATGTTTTATCACCAAAACTGCCTTTTGGCAACATAACAATGAGAGCGTGCACACTACAACTTCTGTAGGGGAAAAACCAGTTTGGGCAACAAAAAAACTTCCACTCCTCCAAGAGACTTTTGTCTTTTCCTCTCCCTTTATTATCAATAAAGAACTAGTGTGGACTCTGCTGTTTATTTTATTGAAACAACTGGCTTCCGCCAATATCCCACAATGCCGGTGCTGATGACTGTGCTCAGTGTTTTGATATCTGCTGCAATGCAGGTATGTGCCCTTACTCTTTCAAAGCATCTGACAGCTCAGTGACCTGCTCCATTTGGGAAACAAAAAGAGCAAATCATTCAAATGTTCTGGCTTTGCCCTGCCAGAAACACAGCAATAGGAAACTGCTGCTGTAGAGGAAAGACTGCTGCGCTGCATTGACATTCCTGAGCACAAAGAGCTCACAGAACTACTCATACTGCTCTAAGCAAGTTAGAGTGCAGTGGGAGAACTCAGAAAGAATCCCAAGAAGGGCAGGAATTGGCTTTGCCTTACCACAACACTGCACTACGGATGCTCACCCATAATCCTTTGCTCTATCTGTTGGGAGGAGACCTAGCAATGTGGCTATGAAATACTGACAAGAATAGGCAATTTGGCTGGATTTCAACTTTTACTGACTTTTGCATATTAACAGCGCTTTTGTTATCAAACCTTCCCAGTGTAGACAGTCTCAACTGAAACACTGAAGAGACACAGAAGGGGAAATAATGACAATTTTAAATGACGGAAGATTCTAAACTCAGCCATTAAATAAAAATATAACGGTTACTGTAATGCATGTCTTGCTGCTGCAATGCTAAATGACCTAAAATGAATAAGCTATGAACAGGAAAAAGCAGTTTTACAGGTGTTTGAAAATAATTCTTAGAAATCAGTAATCTTAGTAGAAATCCACTTTTATTAAAATGACACAATTTTAAATGACGGAAGATTCTAAACTCAGCCATTAAATAAAAATATAACGGTTACTGTAATGCATGTCTTGCTGCTGCAATGCTAAATGACCTAAAATGAATAAGCTATGAACAGGAAAAAGCAGTTTTACAGGTGTTTGAAAATAATTCTTAGAAATCAGTAATCTTAGTAGAAATCCACTTTTATTAAAATGACAAA